AAGACAGTCAAGGAGGAGGACAGTCAAGGAGGAAGACAATCAGGGAGAAAGACAGTCAAGGAGGAAATAGTCAGGGAGAAAGGCAGTCAGGGAGGAAGACAGTCAGGGAGGAAGACAGTCTGGGAGGAAAACAGTCTTGGAGGAAGACAGTTAGGGAGGAAGATAGTCAAATGAGACAGTTAGTTAGATAGGAAAAGACTTAGTTCAGTAAAGATAAAATAAAAAGTCGCTTAGATAGAAAAACCAGGTGATAGTTGAGTACCTGTATACTGTCTAAATTGAAATTAATCAAGCAGGTAAGACGGGTGGTAGTTAGACAGGTATTTAATCAAGGGTGTTGCCGATCAGACAGACGACTAAGAAAAGAAAATCATTTATTTATACAGACATTTAAGAAGATCTAGTAGACAGTGCGCGTATATTAAACTAAGTATATGGTCAGGATAGACAGAAAAACACAGACGGAGGCAGACAGTTGGACAGTGAGGAAGGAAACGGAAGAGGGAGGGTCAGAAGGGGAAGGAGAATAGAAATTGATGTAGATATTAAATAAACTCTCTGTGTCTTAACTTTTCCACGTGAGCTGCTGAATCCATAATTAGAATTCAGTATTATTAATATTTCCATTACATTAATGATTAACGTTGATATACAAGTATTAATATCATCATTAGTCTCATCATTAATAACTTGTAATCTATAATGCAGATGGTGTTATAGGGCATCTGTTTGCCTTTTTTTTTAACTTAATTCAAATATTTCGAGATGTTCGTGAGGAGAGGAGGGGTATGGGTTGGTCGAATTTAGGGCGTGGGCGTGAGTTTCCAGCCCACACCGGAAGGGCGGCGCCCGTCAGTAAGGGTGGGTGGCAGGAGGGGAGGAGGAGGACGAGAGGGACGCGGGGGAGTGGGCCATTCTCAAAGGCTTGTCCAGAATTACTGTATCTTTCATGCCTCAGCGTCATGTCCCCGTGTGCTTTGGTATCCGTCAGTTCCGCACCTGACGTAGTGGACACATTCTTGAACTCCCACCTGTCAGACACACCACCAGGGACTTGAACACACCTAGACGGATACTGCAGCTACGACTAAGGCGTCATCCCGCAACGTTTCGTTATCCATCGTTTGGTTTCATCCCGTGGCTGTCACTTAATGAAGCATGTGAGCGAAGTTGACCGAGAAAAGTGGGAGAGGAAGCGGCTCCCGTACGTGTTGTGACAATGGAGGAAGGGGAGGAGGGATGAGGAGGAGACGTTGTTAAAGAGGGCGTTGAGGGTGAGGAAAATAGAACACCACACAAAGATTATTCTGCTGCTACTGTCTGACTCTCCTGTGGCGTACCTCCGTGTCTTACCTGTGTAAAAACTTTAATAACTTACCTGTATAATGCTTGTTTCTCACCTGTGTTACTTGTGTCTCACCTGTAGCTTACCTGTACAGTCCTTGTATTTATCACCTGTCTATTACCTTTCTGTCTCACCTGTGTATTACTTGTATCTCACCTGTGCAGTATCTCTATAACTCATACCTGCATCACCTATCACGTTGTTCACCTGCAGCGACCTCTTCTGCGTAGTACATCTTGACTTTCATCTGAGAGTTCAAAGAGTCAGGGTACCGTCCATGTTGTAATTCAGGGATCTGTAATATATTTCTTAACTCAGGACATTTGACTATTGGGGTGGTTAATCACCCTTACTAACCTAACCTAACCTAAACTAACCTAACCACACCCGTTAGCTAGATTATTTTCGATAAATAGCTTGGACGATTTTTTTGTGTGTGAAATTACCATAACGGCATGAGCTCTCCTCCCTTACTCTGGGTTTCCTTGGTGTTGTCCCTGTATTCCTGCAGACCCAAAGTTCCCATGGACCACCGGGGGGAAAAACTATTGTCTAACTGTTCAACAAGGCGTTGCAGCCACGTCCATTTGTTCCCTTTACCGTCCCTTACGAGGAGCGCACCGGTGTTGCTGACTCGAGCGTAAAACGAATGGAAAAGCTTAAACAGCCTCTAGACGCCACCTACAGAGAGGTTCCCTGGGGCTGGTATGCTGTTTGGAGAGTTTAAACTTGTTACCTCCACCTAAAAATAAAAATAAAAAAAGAACTTAGAAGTGGAGCAGGTGGTTGAGGTGGGGCTGCCAGACGTTGTTACGCTTGGCCTCATACGTGTACGACAACCTCGGCTTCAGGTTGGGGTAATGGCGGAGGCTGGAGACTGATCATAAACAAATACACAGTCATAACAACAAAGGACAATAGTTGAGTCATGTTTTGGATGTCACTAATAACGACATAGATAACATTAATGATACAGTATAGCCGGATATCAAAGACGTAGTGTAGTGTGAGTAAATTTCACAGCTGAATAGATTATGACGCGAGAGGACTGTGTGGTTATATAAACTACTGTAACCTGTGTACTCTGCATGACGACTGCCACACTGAAGCTATAACCCTACATCACTCGTGGAATTATTATTAGCATCCTACTTCCTGAATAGTCAAGATATATTGCTCAATTTTTATACATTGTTAAAGAGAATTCAAGGTCAAAAACACAGAAATATTTTCATTTTACATCGCCCTGTTTTTTTTCGTTAATACAAAGATGATTTACAACACGTAAACAGGGAACTCCCCGTCCATACACCTGTTAACAGTGTAGCCAGAGCAGTGGCTGAAGCGCTGCCAGGAGTGAGAATATTTGTCACGGTCTTCCAGGAAACAGAGATTTGGCTGTAATTCAGGCGATCAAGAGGCACATATAGAGGTTAATGACAAAGATAAAAACAGAACCCAGGTGACAAGAATAATGCAGCAAAAAAGTGACGAAACTACAGAAATGACAGTAACAGTGAATACAAAAAAGGATGGAAGTCAGAAGCAGAAGTAAAGGAGGAATAACACCAGAAACATTAAAGTATGACTGCTACAACAGTTAAAGGAGAGATAGAAGCAGCAGCAACAGTAAAGGAAAGATTAGGAGTAGCAGCAATGGTAGAGACAGGACCGCACAGCAGCAGCAACAGCAGCAGAGCAGCAGCAACATGAGCAAGAGGCATGACAATAACAGCCAGAAGGACGCGAGGTGGGCGGCGTCACGCACGGCCGGCCGGGATAGGTTTATCTAGCCCCTCCTAGCAGGTTGACCACAACATCCAGCCATCACCCGCCTCTCTCACGGGATACTCATTCATTTTACCCTCTGTAACTCTGCTGTGGTGTCTATATACATCAATACTCAATATTCTATACCTTTGTTTCCATCTATACACAGCGATATAAGCTAAATACTCCGTCTTCTCACTGTACCTCCATCGTGACTGTTTATTTATGCTGTTCGTCAATCCATTTGTCTTTTTTTCTGACCAATAACGTGTCTCGGAAGATATGGGACGCGTAAACATCGATCAGGTAAACACGGGTGAGGATAATCACTGCTGGTAATCTACCCAAATCTACATAATAGTCGCACAAAGCCGACAAAAAGCCGACCCGACTAGAGGTGGATGAGACAGGGAGTCGGAGCGGGTGTGTGTGGTCGGGCCCCGCAGCACACAAAAGGGCTGGACCATGACGATACCGGTTGGTCTGCGAGCTGCTAAAACTTGAGCCAGATTTGTTTAACTCTAGATTATTTGGCACCAAAAACGTCAGGTTCTCTTAACACCGGCTGTCTACAATGAGGACTTGAAGGTTATATATATTTTTTTTCATGAACTGTGTTGCCATCGTCTGTGTGGGTTAGATACTCTGTATATAGAGAGTTTGAATGAAAGTTTAAATATAAGATTGAGAAAATGTGTCGGTAATAGTCTCAAGTAAATTGCGAGAACTGCTTGAGAAAGAAAAAGGATTTATCTCCTCTGCATTGTCATGTTCACCACCAGCACCTCCTCCTCCTCCTCCTCCTCCTCCTTCTCCTCCTCCTCCTCTTCCCATCCCTTCTTCCTCACCTCCTCCTTAACTCCCCGCCCCCACCCTTTCCTTTACGCTTTCTTCCCCATTCTCTTCTCTTCAATTTATTTTATTTTTTCTCATTGAACTTTAGCTTTTGTTTACCCATTTATGCCTCTACTTAACCCAGTTTAATTCTGCTTTCATGTTTTTGTCCTACTTCTTTCACTCTTCTTTATCCTCCCGTTGTTCTTTCACTTCATTATTTCCTTTTATCTTCCTTTCCTTCTTCGTCCATAGTCTTACAATCCCTTTTCTTTTATTCTTCTAGTCTATGTTTCTTCTTCCTTAGTCGCCCTTCTAGTCGTCTTCTCCCTCCTCCTCCTCCTCCTCCTCCTCTCCTCCTCCTCTTCCTAGTCATCTAGTCGTCCTCCTCCCATTCTACTTCTTTCTTATCCTCCTTATCTTTCTTATCTTCCTCCTCGTCTTCCTCCTTCTTATTGTCCTTTCCTCGTCCTTTTCCTCCTCCTTCTCCTTATCCTCTTCCTTGTCCTCCTTTTCCCCCTTCCTCCCACAGGAGAACTCGTCTGGTGGTGGTGACGTTGTGTCTGGGCGAGCTCGCTGAGCCTCGGAAAGCACGTAGCCCTATAAAAACGTTTCGACTCCACACTGCACTCATTCGCCTCTGGACAAAAACCACTGCAGTCTCTAACCAACAAAAGATTACAAGCATGTCCAGTTTCCTGTTGGCCTGTGGTAGGAGACAAGGAGATGAGGTGATGATGGTTCAGAGGTTGGCACTCCCCTACCCCCTCAGGTGAAGGATCTCCTGACCTTAAGGATTATTGATATTAGGATGTGGAAGATGTGGGACTCCTATCATCTTGAGTATCTCTTATAGAGCTTTTTGAATCCCTTATTGTTACATTGTTCTCGATTATCATAGGATTTGATTGTGTTTATATTTTTATACCTTCATGGCGAGAAGCATAAAGGTCATTAAATTTCTTTAGTGTTTTGTTTTTGTTATATATTGTAAAATCTCGATGGCCTATGGTGACTGTGCTTCTTATCACTGTGTCTTTCTTCCTATCAGATTACTCGACTGGTCGCCAGGAGGAAGGTATGGATATCTTTCGGTGTGTTGCTTGTCACTAATTTTGGGTGTAGTTGGGACGCTTTGGGTCTCGTATGGGGGAAACTAACATGGATGTGAGACAGTGAGGTGAGAGTAAAAAGTGAGAGAGAGAGAGAGAGAGGTGGGGGATGTGAGAGAGAGAGGAGAGGGGGGATGTGGAGAGAGAGTGAGAGGTGTGGGGATGTGAGAGAGTGAAGGAGAGGGAGAAAGAGGTGGGGATGAGAGACAGAGGAAGGAGGGAAGAGAGAGAGAGAGAGAGAGAGGGGGTGGGAGATGTGAGAAAGAGTGAGAGAGTGAGGGATATGAGAAAGAGAGAGAGAGAGAGAGAGAGAGAGAGAGAGAGAGAGAGAGAGAGAGAACAGTTATATGACTCAACGCTGTGGGAAGTAACTCCGACACACTTCGTATCCTCTCCAAGATGCTCAATTAAAATCCTGAGACCGGAAACCCCTCTTTTATATTCTTAATGTGACTTTTTCTCCCTAACATGATCGTGACTCCTTTTCCTTATTCATGTAATCTCGTGTGCTCCAAGTCTCCCCTCCCATGCCTTCCCCTTTCCTCCCCACCCTTCCCCTTTATTCCCCACCCTTCCTCCCCTGCCTCCCCTTCATCCCCTACGTGACCCCTTTCCTCCCAACCCTTCCCCTTCTTCCCCTTCTTTCCCCATCTCCCCACCCTTCCTCTGCCTCTCCTGCCTCCTCCCCCCCCCTACCACCCTCTTCCCCTGCCTTTCCCTCCTTCCCTGTCTTCCCCTCCCCTTCCCACCTTCCCTTCATCTCCCCTACGTTTCCTTCCTCCCCTGCCTTCTCCCTCCTCCCCTGCCTCTCCCTGCTCCCCTGCCTTCCCTTTCCTCCCTACCTACCCCCTCCTCCCCTACCTCTTCGTCCCCCCTCCCCTCTCTTCTCCCTTCTCCACCCTCCCAAAAATATATATACAGTATATGACCGTGTTGAAGTAGTGTCTGTGGGACGCCGTTAGACACGCCCCAGCCAACGGCAGAGTTCGGCAACACCGCCTTCGTCCGTAGTGTTATAGTAGGTCCTGGATGAAGGTGGGCCGCCAGGTGCATTATGGTTGGGTGTTGATTGAGGTGCTCTTCCGCCCTTGTGTTAATTCCTGTATTAGTGTAACTCTTGTGATACACACACACACACACACACACACACACACACTACAGCTTGATGTCTACTTCCGTTAGTGTGTAGGTGTTACTTTTACAGAGTTGCTGTATGAAATTAGACGGCATAGAAGCGCAGAAAAACAACTAAATAAGGGTAAGGTGTTTATAGTCAAAGAACAGATATCTTCCTGCCATTATTCTCGTCAACACCACGGCGCTCAAAGGACTGGACGATGTCACATCTTCTCACTGCCTAGTCTCTATCAGTCTCTTGTTCTTGTTCTTCTTGTTCTTGTTCTTCTTCAAATGCATCTTTACCTTCTTTTTTTTTTACAGTTCCTCTCTTTATTTGGCTTCAAAACCCTTCCTCTTCATCTCTTATCTCCCTCTTACACATCCCTCACATCTATTTCCTTCCTTCCTTCCTCCCCTCTCTCCTCCACCTCCTCCTCCATCTCTTCCTACACCTCCCTCCCCTTCCTCCTCTCACCACCACCACCACCACCACCACCACCACCACCACCACCACCTCCTCCTCCTCCTCCTCCTCCTCCACCACCACCTCCTCCTCCTCCTCCTCCTCCTCCTCCTCCTCCTCCTCCTCCTCCCCCTCCTTACCCTTCTGCTCTGTCACCAGACGATCCCATGGCCGCGAGTGCAGGAATGTTGGTGTTTGTAGTGGAACCTTGACGATATTTTTTGTTGTTTGTCTGGCGCCAGTGACGGGCCGTGGTTATGCACCAACACCATTGACAGGGATCATCCGTTTCTGTTCTCCTTCGCCTGTTGGGGGAAGACGTCTTTGAGTGTGTGTGTGTGTGTGTGTGTGTGTGTGTGTGTGTGTGTGTGTGTGTGTGCGGAAGGAAATCCCGTAAATACATGAGTGTACCCATGTGAGAGGGAATTGCGCGCGCGTGTTTGTGTGTGTGTGTGTGTGTGTGTGGGAGGGAGTTCTGTGTGCGTGCGTGACTGTGTGCGCGAAGAATATTGATGCACGTCTGAACGCCCGTGGGAGGTACGTGCGTATGTGACTTTAGATGTCCATGGGTGAATGTTAAAGTGTAAGGGTGTGCGTGTGAGAGGGGGCATTGTGCAGTGATTGCGTGCAGTAATTGCGTGCAGCCACCAGTAGAGATGCGTGGAGGATATTGAGTGAGGACGTGTAACAGGACCTAGGTGAGTGACTGTAATATACTGTATTGGGGATGTGCTCATGTGAGGGTGCGTATGTAGCCGTGAGTGAGAACTAATTGGGGGAATGCGTGTGGGCGTACAAATGCGCGTGGCGTATGTTTGAGGGCGTGCGTGTGTTCGTACTGTGTGTGTGTGTGTGTGTGTGTGTGTGCGTAAAGATGTTGTTTATGGTACATCCTTGATTGCTTGTGTCCGTTTAGTTGCTCTCGGTATGTGTGTGTGTGTGTGTACGCGACGTGTGCGGGGAGAGCCATGTTGTCATAGTTGCTCTTTGACCCGTGAGTCATAAAAGAGCCATAACGCTATGTGGGCGGCGTCACAGTGGCTCGTGTCTAGACCAGGTTGGGTTACGTCGTCCACAGACTCAGGCACGACGGTCTTGATGAATCATTTTCCAAGAATGTGCAACACGTGAGCGGACAAAGCAAAGGATCACCATCACAACACCAATGAGAAGGTATCACCAGCACAATACCTGAGAGAGAGACGGATCACCAATACAGCACCAGAGAGAGAGAGAGAGAGATCACCAGCACAGCATCATAGGTGTCAGTGAGTGGGTGGGTGGGTGGGGGTGTAGGGAGAGCTCTGTTACGTCACTCTTGCACAAGTTCTGGTAACTGCTTCCACCTCTCCCTGATACACCTGTGCGGTGAAGGGTCTGCCTCTCCTCCTGCTGGTGCTGCTGTTGTTGTTGCTGGTGGTAGTAGTGATGTTGGTGGTTGTGGTTGTGGTGGTGGTGGTGGTGGTGGTGCTGGTGGTAGTGCTGGTGGTAGTGGTGGTGGTGGTGGTGATGCTGTTGGTGGTGGTGATGGTGATGGTGGTGTTGGTTAGGATATATATATATATATATATATATATATATATATATATATATATATATATATATATATATATATATATATATATATATATATAAACTCGCTCGGTTTCTTTATCTATGGACGCGCATTTAACTAGACTGACCCATTCACTGACGGAGAATAAAAAATAAATACAGTATCTGTGCAGCTTACAAGTGACTCGTCTCTTCTCTTTTTTGGTTATCCTCTATCTTCTCACTCCACTTTATTTATTATCCCGTCCTTCCATTCTTTCATGTTTTCTTTCTTTTGTAATATATATTTCTACACATTGCCCCCCCCCCCTCTCTCTCTCTCGTGTTGGGTAGTGGAGCTCTCAGCCATGAGCCGTAAACATGCACTAAATCAGCCACGGATAATTGAGATTGATTCGAGATAATATATTCACTTCACAATATTATCTCTTGAGTCCTGCTCCTCCCTCTCCTGTGTTTACCTGTTCATCGGGTTATGGTCTAAGTAGCGGTAACTGAGTGTATTATAATTGTGGTGGATCTACTGAACATAATTCTCGTAGTAACTGTGAAGCCAACTAGATGAAGCAGTCAAGATGAACGAGGGAAGAGAGAGAGAGAGAGAGAGAGAGAGAGAGAGAGAGAGAGAGAGAGAGAGAGAGAGAGAGAGAGAACCAGCCAGCGTTACAGCAGCCTTCTGGTATCAAGAGTCAACGACACCCAAGGCACACGAACGATGCTGTCAGATACACCACACCTCGTTACACCGACACGACACCCTCAATCACCTCACTACCTCACCCCCGGAGTCTACCGATTAAACCTCAAACTTCGCCTCGGAGGCTGTGCGTGTCTGGTTGAGTTTGGTTACGCTGGGGAGTGTGTAGGGTCGCCGGCTGGCCCGTTTGACAAGGTTACACCATAAGCGGAAACTTGCCAGCTCGCAGGCGGGGGAGTTAGTAGCTTAGTGTGTACGTGTGTGTGTGTGTGTGTGCCTGCTCGTGCATGTTTGTGTGTGTGTGTGTGTATAAGTCATGCTCAAACAGATGTAAACAAATAAATGGTAGTGCCAGTGATGAGGGCTGCACTTGGTCAGTATTGTTGTGGTATGCAGAGTAAGTCTTGTTGTATCACGTGAGCAAATTTCCAGTTGGGAATGTCATTGTGGTATTTTTTTTATATATCTGATTGAATTGCTCTCTCTCTCTCTCTCTCTCTCTCTCTCTCTCTCTCTCTCTGCTGGCGCCATGCCGTGAGTGACACAGGAGCACTACAGGCTGACAGATCACGCCGCTGACATTGCCAGCCGCAGTCACGCTCTCAACCACGCTGACACCGCTACTCCAGCCCTTGCATGTCAGTCAGCTAAGCCACGTCTCTCGGTAAAATACTCATAGTCAGAACTACCCCAGACGGTCACATAACCTCCTAATGGTCACTGGTGCCACTTTCACGCCCACCTCACGCCCACCTCACGCCCACCTCACGCCCACCTCACTATTGTAAGCCAAAGAAAATTCGTTGCTAGAGATTCCCATTTGATTACCAAGTAAGTGAAGGAGGAGGTCAGCGTGTGTGTCCCTTTAGCCGGACCGTCAATATTAATCAACACATTACTGTATTACCTTTTTCTGTCTTGGTGTTGTCATTGATTACGATCTTGGTATACTTCAAGTAAGTTCTCTCTAACACCAGTACCTTCTCCTCCCCAACACCAGTACCTCCTCCTCCCCAACACCAGAACCTCCTCCTCCCCAACACCAGAACCCCCTCCTCCCCAACACCAGTACCTTCTCCTCAGTACCTCTTCCTCCCCAACACCAGTACCTTCTCCTCCCCCAACACCAGTGC